AGAAGGGGAGAGAGAGAGAGAGAGAGAGAGAGAGAGAGAGAGAGAGAGAAAGAAAGAAAGAGAGAAATGGAGAGATGTGTTTTATAGGTCGGGGTAATCATTTCGTATACGTACGTCAATCTCGTTGAACTGAGCGTGACCACCTCGCTTGTTGATGTAGTCGATAAGCATCTGGGCATGCTCTCTCTCCTCTAACGACGCAGCTGCAAAAAACTTCTGGATTCCCGGAAGGGCTACGTCAGCTCTTTGAAAGTAGGAGGCCTGAGGGAACAAGGCAGAGTTAGATTCCAAAATGTTCTCTTCTTTTTTTATTTTAACTACTTTTTAGGAAATTAATTTAGAACATGGGTAGGAAATAATAAGATTTCTCAGACATCCAGCCGATAATAAATTAAATCATGTTGAGGAGCAATCCTGTTTGACCTTTCCCTCCCTCAGAAATTCCCCCTTTTGCATTCGAGGAGAACCAGATTTCATTAAGTTCAAGCTCAATATGATCAAAGTTGTCTATCCATATTGGAGATAAAAAGCCATCACACAACGGTCATACAAGGAAGAGATGATTTAAAAAACAACAACAACGGAAAAACCCAGTGGAGAACAGGGGAAAGAAGTAAGAGTTTTAGCTAACAATCACCTTTTTCCCTTTTGGTTGTCGATATTTGAAGGCCTGCAGAACACAACTTATAAGAAAAGACAGCCCATAAAGACAGGAAGAACGAACACTTTTATATTCGCCAGAAGCGCAAAATGATGGTGTCTTATGTTTTGACTCATAAGTTCTTGATTATTCATAGCATTCATGGTGTTCTTTATCTGTTAAACGTGAGCAAAGCAAAAATGTTCAACGGAATCAGTTTTTCACACCTTCTGACCAGGTAGGGTCATTTTAAGGCCAGTAGACATCACGTGTATATGGCACGTGTCTCAAAAGCTTCGAACTGAAAGCAGCACCAAAGCACAACAATTATTGTAGTTTCCAAATTTAACACCTTTAACAGAAACCTGAACACTGAGATTACTGTCACCCACAATGGTAGCAGAAACAACAGGAGTATAGAGAAACAGCGTAAACATACATGTTTAGCAAACCAGCTGCAGGAACATCCCAGCCACCACCACCAGGAAAAAATCCTTAGCACATAACAACAACTGCTACAACGATAATTAAACAAGAACAAAAATAACATCAAACAAACCTCAACAACAACAACAAACAACAACAACAACAACAACAACAACAACAACAACATAACAACAACAATAAAAGCAATAACAACAACAACAAACAACAACAGCAAAAATAACAACAACCACAACATCATAAACAACAACATCAACAACAATAACCACAGACTTCGAAAAGAGGCAGATGGAAGAGTTACCACGTACATAGGCTTGGTAAACGTAGCTGGCGGACAACTCCTTCTGTATCTGTGACACCAGCATGGCGTTCACGCTGGACTGATAGTTCTGTTTTACATTGCTCACAAAGTCTGAAAACAAAGAATAAAAAACAACAGCCATTTCAACAAACATGGTTGACTCTCTTGGGTTTTCTTTTTGAGCTTTTAATCTTTTCAGTGTAGGTTATACAGAGCTTTCAACATTAAGCAAATCCCATTATTCAAAATGCAGATGATTGGAGGGCGCCAATTGTAGGTCCCAACTTCTTTACTTTCCCTCCGTTCTTTCTGACTGTCTATCAGTCAAACTTTCCCCCAACACTGAATGACCGTTACTGTTCGATGTGCTTCTCTTTCCTCAAACTCAAATCTCTTAATAAAGCAACATGAAAGAAACAGGCAAGTGTTGGGGGGACTTTAGATCTGTACTATGAGGACAGTTTGCTGTTTGCCCGTGTTGTAGAGTAGCGAAAAGTTCCGCCAACCGATTGACAATACAGTTATAGACGGAACTTAGTCAACATTATTTTCCTGCTGATTAATTATATTAAGGACTCGCTCATGGGGTGTCAATCAAATGCCCCAGTTGATATGAATAATTCATTTTAGACTCTCTTCATAATAAAACAAGCAAAACAACGAAGTAAAGAAATAGGTAAGAACGGTGGTGGTGGTGGTGGTGGTGGTGTGTGTGTGTGTGTGTGTATGTGTGTGTGTGTGTGTGTGTGTGTGTGTGTGTGTATGTGTGTATGTGTGGGTATGAAAGTGTGTGTGTGTAGCTGTATGTGTGTGTGCGTGTGTGTGTGTATGTGTGTGTGTGTGTGTGTCTGTGTACGTGTGTGTACGTGTGTGTTTGTGCGCGAGTGCGTGTATGTGTGTGTGCGTGTGTGGGTGTATGTGTGTTTTTGTGTGCAAGTTGAAGTGTGTGTGTATGGGAGTATGTGTGCGTGCGTGCGTGCGTGCGTGCGTGCGTGCGTGCGTGCATGCGTGCGTGCGTGCGTGTGCGTGTGTGTATGCGTGTGTGTGTGTGTGCGCACGTGTGCTCTCGTGTGTGTGTTAGTATGGACGTATAAAAGGGGGAGAGTGGAGATGTAGATAGGACCCCACATTCCCCCACCCCTTCTCTTTTCTCTCCGAGCTTTAAAAAAAATGCCCACAATATACTGGAGGAAAATGGTTGTGCACGTGGATCTTTGATTGTGTTTAGGGTTAAAAAAAAAGCAGCTTCGCTGATGCAGTCAACAATTCATTTCCTTATATTTCTTAACCCAACGATTTCTTTCAGTAACGACGACTCCTTTTACTACTACTACTACTACTACTACTACTACTACTACTACTACTACTACTACTAACACTACTAATAATAATTCCCCAAAATAATGACATCATGTCATGAGAAGCATGAACAACTCGGTAGAATCGGCAGTGCCAATGAACTTATTGCTGATAGGAAACCCCCCCTCTTTCAGCCTTAAGGATAATATTAAAAAACAAAAAGTGCAAACGAACAAAAATGTCCCCACTTCCCTGAGGCAAAGTTGAACGCTCTGGCGGTTATCGATTTGACCACCCTCATTATCTACGTGCGCCTAAGGACTTCTAGTATCTCCACGTGACATGAAGAGTTATCAGCTGATTTCTATTGTAAACCTCAGCAGTAGAGGAGTCAAAAGAGCCGTGGTTCTCCCTTCGGTTCTCAGTGATGCTTAGTTTTGTCAGACGCTGTATCCAGCATTTTCATCAAGTAAGATAAAGAAAGAGAGAGAGAAACAAAAAGATCTTGGCAGGGAGTGGGATCGTTAGGAGGAGAGGAAAAGGGGGGGGGGGGGGCGCAACCTACCAGCGCTTGGATCCAGTAATACACACACAAAAATAATTTTTAAAATTGAATGTCAGCAGTTTTCTGCTGAATCGTTTAAACGACCCTCGGGGGTGTTCTTGGTTATCTTAAATGAGACACTATACCAGTACATGGAGTTATTGGTAGATCTATCATCTGTAAGCTGATTTATTTGCCTTGCGTTCAAAGAATGAAATATCTATTTGTCTTCAACAGAACTAAAGATATTTGCGATTGAAGGAAGTGAGGTCGCCTGGTTTCAGTGGGGAAATTAGCGAGAAAATGGCAGCCAAAGTTTGGTCATTCCAATAGCTAAAGAGTCTTTGAAAACTGAAAAACGACATGTTTTGTGTTCCTTTAATCAATGTTTCTCCTATAAAATTAACATAGAATGTGTTTTGTTATGGACATAAGAGAGGTTAAGCCAAAATATAACAATTTGATAAAAATTTCCATACTGGTGGAAGAATGCCTGTTTCTCCAATTTCGCTATTTTGACTATCTCCTGATCTCAATACGCTGCCTCACAAATTGTTTCTATTTGAAGTGAAAGATTTAGACTTCCGGTTCTCTTGCTAATGGGGCTTTAGCCAACGAGTCTTGTGAGATGGCGTTCGGAACAAAAGGCACTTTCCAAGAACCACTTGCTTGTCTTTGGAGGCATTTACTTTTTAACTTACTCCAATAAGCATTGTTGTATAGAATACGATGACTCCAACTGTTTGTTGAAAATGCGTCTGAAGTCAAGCGTAATATCCTCAGCATTAATGACCACGTAGTTGTAGCTATAATATAAGGATACAATCAACCGCTATGCATAGACAGCAACATATTATATACTGGCTACATAATTTGTTTGTTCTTTTTGTTTTACAAACGGTTCACAGCAGTAGCTTACCGTCAGAGACGTAGATCGCCCTCAAGAGGATCGTGTTCGACGAGAAATAGTTGAAAGTATTTCTTTTTTCAAGTTAACTATCACCATGGTGCCCCACGGACATGTATGGACATTAAAAGCTGGAATAATTGCCCTTCATATTTGCATGAAACCTGAAACTTTGCAATATGGAACAAACAGACGTATTTACATGATATATGAACTATAGTTTTTCTTTTATTTGAAGGTTTTATGCTATTTTGATCATGACAAAGCAATGCATTCAAGCCAGGCTTGACTCTCCCCTTTCCATAGATCAATATGACATAGCCTAAAATCAGCATCTTTAGACATAGCCTACAATCAACATCCTTATTTGATACATAGAAATGACCATACATCGGACACGTCAAAGGCTAAATAGGCTCTCAGCCTCTTCAACAGCCTCGCTTAACAGACCTTTCTACTAATACGCACTCAACATGTTACCTTAAAGATTTGGATGATACTATACATGTTACATTTTGCTACTTACCTTCGCCTTGGGCAGCACAAGCCAGGACCGAGATGGAAAGAGTTAGTACGAACGCCCACATTTTGATTTGTGTGATAAATGCACAGCTGAGAGCACTGACTAATAATTAATGTTGACGTCTCTGATGCTATATGCTCTGTCCTGTGATGGCGAAAGAATTGGGTCTGAAAAGAAGTAGGTTAATTGTTCACTCCAAGTTTTGGCCAGTTGATAACTCTGATTCAGATTTAGAGTCGTTTTCCAAGTGGGGTTCTGTATGGGTGGATGTCAGGATTTTTATCTGTGGTCCCAAAGTAGGGTGGGCAGATAACGTCTAAGCGATGATCAAAGGTGAACCTGAGCTGATCCGTTATCTCTCCATAGCAAAAAGAGCCCTTCTTATTAGAATGGGCTGCTCAAAGCGGCATTTTATTTTCTCATTAATACTTTTCCGAAATGCATGGGTTTAGACTCCGAAAATTAAACTTGTAAACCGCTAAATTACTCGTTTATACTCTAGGCCCCTGTGTGTGGAAGGTTCGCACGTTTTCAGAACAACTCTCTTTTCCAGCCAGTTTATTCCAGTTTACAGTTTCAGCTCTCCCGCCCCCCCCCCCCCCCCCCCCCCCCCCCCCCCCCCCACACACACACAGACGCGCAATTACATCAGGTCACGGATACACCACAGCCATTTTCGCACTCCATCTTCCTTAACTATTCCTTTGTACGTGGTGACCTTTCCTTGAAGGTAGGGTGATGCGTCTTTTCTATGTATGTAACATGTCAACTCTCCTATTTAAGATCCAAGCCACCGAAATGAGATATTTTAGACGACTCTTTGGCATCTCATACAATGGCCACGTCACAAATGAGGAAGTACACAATAGAGTGAAACAACATATGAGCCACTATTCTGACTTGCTGTCTACTGAGAAGCGAAGAAAACTGAAGTGATATGGTCATGTGACAATATTGTATAGCCTATCCAAGACCATTCTTTAGGGAACTGTGCAGCAAGTGAAGCGTGGTATGAAATTAAGACTACATAACACATTTCCAGTTGTGAAAAGAACCTGAAAAAACCCAACATGTTCTCGTCAGAGGTTGTGATAAAGCCAACGCTGACACGTACATGTCAACGTGTTTGCTTATGAACACCTTTTGGTCATATTTAGCTTGTACAACGTATAGGCAGGGGGAAAGAATGATTTCTTAAGTTTCAAAACGGTATACCTTTTTGTTCACAGCTTGAAGCGCTACCTAGATAAAAATTCAGTTGAAACAAACAAACAAACAAACAAGCAAAAAACAAACAAACCCAACAACAAACAAATATTCAAACAAACAAACAAACAAATAAAACAAACAACTTCTCCTCATATTTTGCAAAACCACTACATGTTTATACTAATTTTTACTTTCAAGGGTCTTATAGTTTTATGGTGAATTAATAATAATAAGAGATAATCTGTAACCGTGCTGAAGGATTTTCCGACGTTTATAGGCCGAAAGTCAGTTTCAAATTCAAAGTAATATTTCAGGTATTATATAAAATACAGCAAGCGTACCAGGTGTCTAAAAAGGATCTATTTTCGAGACCATACCTCAGTCATCTTTGCACCAATTTCAACAAAACTACGATCAAATAAAACGAAACCTAGATACGTCCAATTTGTTGGTATGAAAAAAAAATCTAAACATTAGGTTAAAAAAGTATCAAGTTTTCAAAATTTCAACAAAAATTGAGTGAAACCCAAAACTTTACAACTTTAATCAAATCAACCACAATGCGTACAGTTGAAGAATGGATTTTTTAAAAACTATCTTTGTCATATACATCGTTTCCTCCCAAAAATGACACAGTTCAAAGTACAACGTTTTCCTCTGGATATTTTTGAAAGACAGAGTTTACATAAACAATCCACAAATAATCGTCTAACATTTCAAACTCAATGTTGAACAGGAGATCCAAAGAATCGACAACATCCCGCGGCTGTGCCACCGACTGAAGTGTCTTTAGGCCATTCCCAAAGGGGGGGCATTTCTCGTTCTAATGCACAGTAGAATGCACAGTAGAATTGTAAATGGGCTCATCCAACAATGTCATGCACATAACTGTGCCTGAACTACAATAGGGAACTGCTGCTTTTTCTTTCCTAATCCTTACTACGTTCCTTTTCCTTTACTTCTTTTGTATGTTTGTCACACTCCTGTGACCCGCTATTTCCGGGTGCCTGGATTGTCGGAGCAGACTTTGTGCTGTTGAAGCTAGAGAGGTGAGCAGAGTAAGTCTGATTCCCTGTAAAGACTTCTCCGTTGACATCCACCCCTAGGCGCTCATATGACCTTATGCAGTTGCGAGCTCCGTAAAACCTACTAAAACAAAAGAATCGACAGGGGGCTCTCGTGGCCTAGGGGTAAAGGTGTTGGCCTCTCATTCAAAGGTCCCGGGTTCTAATCTGAAATTGTCTCCTTTCAGCTCCTTTCCTGCTCTCTAGCAAGGTTCTGCCGGCTACTTTCGTCTCCTCTTTCTGTCCCCAACCCTTCACCTCCTTGGCCCTCACCTCTGGGCTCCTAACTCTTTCTGCAACCTTTTCTCCTGCTTCTGCTTGGCTCCTTTTTACTTCTGTCTTTCTGCCAAAACCCTGATCTTCTGGTAGGAAAGATCTACACCGAGTCTTCTTGGACAAGGGCTAAAAATCTCGGAGGGCCCGAGTGCAAGTTGCGCACGTTAAAGATCCCTTTGGTGGTCTAAAATCGATGAGAGTAGGCTTCGGCCGCCACCTGGGTAAAATTCAAAATTTCCAACCAACTGACAAAGTTTAGTGTCCCGCGCGTAGTTGCAAGCGCCGTAAAACACTTACCAAAAAAAATGAATTGACCCAGAAACATGCCACAGGATTATTTATTATTTCCATCAGTGTACTCAAACTTGTCCTACAGAAATTGTCAAAACCTGGAGCATAATAATATCATTGAAATAGCCACCACCTCCTCTGAATTTGCTTGACAATGTCAGCATCAAATACATTAATTGTTTTTTAATGCGCACATACACGTTGCAGTAGATCTTTAAAAAAATGTGTTGTATTTTTTAAAAACTCGATTTTGGTTAATTAAGCTTGATCGTTTCGATCATGTGAGTTGATTTTTCATATTGATAAACTGGACGCCCCCTAGGTTAAATAATGTGCTTTTTTCAAAGTTTTTAAATTTGTGTATTGTTATTGCCTTTTAAGTGTGCCTTCTTGATTTTTTAAAGACACCCTGCATCTCAAAATGTATTTTTTTAAAACATGTAAGAAGCCAAACGGGGCGAAGGTTTCATAAACAACGCACGGATTCATATCATTTTCTAAAAGTTCAACATTGCGCAGAAACTCGTTTTGTGAGAGGTGATACAAGGAATAATCATACTCTCTTTCTCCCGTTCTTATGAAATTTTATAATCTACTGTTAACCCATTTAGTCTCAAATGAAACAGTCTGGCAGTCAGAAAGACAAATGGAAATACATAGACTACAGATATTATTAGACACTCTCTTTGGACTCCGTGGAGGAACTCAACCGTTTTCCACTGCTAATATAGGTGTCATGACGTGGTGGAATCAGGCTCTAGTCTATTTTTGGGTATGTAGAATTATTGGTATCATCTTAAGGCTTGTTCGCCTGTCTTGATTTGGATAAAAACGGTACCCATTTATCTTGAATAGAAGTTGAGATATTTGCAAATGAAGGAGGTGGGGGTCACTTGGTTTCAGAAGTAAAATTAGTGAGAAAATGGCCGCCAAAGATGATTTATTTCCCTAGCTTGAGAGTCCATGAAAACGGAAAATTTACATTTTTTGTGCCATTAATCAATGTTTTTCAGTAAAACCCACACAGAAATGTGTTCTTTAATGGGCATGAAAGATTTTGAGCCAAAATACAAAATTCGATAACAATTCACAACCCTGCGGAGAAATGCCAGTTTCTTCCCTTTGATTATTGTGATGAGCGCCTGATTCCCCCCCCCCCCCTTTCCACACACACACACTTTTCCAAAACAGACTTTCTCTCACCGACCTTTTCTTTAATCATCCTTCTCTCTCCCCCCTCCTCCTCCACAACAACAACAACAACAACAACAACAACAACAACAACAACAACAACAACAACAACAACAACAACAAAAACAACAACAACAACAACAACAACAACAACAACGACAACAACAAAAACAACAACAACAACAACAACAACAACAACAACAACAAGAAGGACAAAAATAAAAAAACAAGCTTACCGTTATGGCTGTATAAGTCATTTTCGTGTCTCTACATTTTTCTTTTTTTCTGCTTCTATGTTTACCATTGTTCACCTTTTTAAAGTACTGGGACGTGTTCATGTCACCGAAAGGAGAAATAAGCTCAATTGCCACGATTTCTGCAGTGATATAAAACTAAGAGTATGGAAAAAATTTGAACTCTATGTCAAGAGTATTCTTTTAACAATTATCTTTATCTAAAATTCCGATCCCTATTATAATCTTGCTGACATCCTCCCCCCCCCCCCAACCCCTTTTCAGGTTTCAGGTAAGAACTAACACCTTGCCTTCTCGGATAAGGAAAAACATCTCAGATGTCTCGGGTGCAAGTTGCACTGAATGTTCATACTAGTACCCAACTTTGAAGATAGTATTTCTGTAGTAACTAAGTTTGCCTCCCCCCCCCCCAACCCCTTCATCATCATCACAGAAAATTAGATTAATGCAAACGGAGTGTCTTGTATAACTTCAGACACAGAACACCGGGAAAGATATTTATTCAGGGACTCGACGACGTTGTACATACCGACTTTTTCAAAAGGGCTGAATAGGTCATTCACCTCACAATAATGGTGGCTCAGATCCTGTCGAGGTTAAAAGTTTAATGGCAGAGTAATTCTTTCTTTAGCTTTGTTGTTCCACTGTTCTCTGCCGACATCTTAGCTGTTATATATCAGATGTTATTGATCGACATACTTTTGTGTCCATCTTTTCCCCAGGTTCGCCCCTTCCATTAATCAGCTAAATATAGGTTTCTCAGCAAAATGTTGTCAGTAGCAATGCTCCATGCCCTTTCTTAGCAAGAGCAAACCATGCACAATAAACTCAACTAGAACCTTTGATCACTCCCCCTCCCCTTCTCCCCTTTCTGTAAAATGGACATGAAAGAAACAAAAACCAAGCATATGGTATTAAATTTTGAATAATATGATATTGGGTATAGCATGTACAGGGGCGAAGGCTGACTTGTTTGACAGGGTAATCAAAGTGAAACAGGACCAGATATGGCCTGTAGATATCACACAAGAATCTTACTCGAGGCGGCGACTCTGAGTTGTGAATGAAAACAAATCCGGAATTCATATTGTATGTTCAACCGCCAAAATAATCGGGAAAGTAT